ATATTAGGTTGGTTCAAAAGTAACCGCTGTTTTTGCCATTGAGAGTAACGGCAAAAACTGCAATTACTTTTGCACCAATCTAATTTTTAAAAAATTAATTTTAAAAATTGGAAGGCATAGATTTCACTCAGCAAGGCAGGAAATCTCGTAACTGCTCTACACTGGCTCTGCTGACCACCCGGCGCTGCTCCAGAGGATGCAAACTGCCCGAGATTTAGATGAATTGACTGAAGGCAATAAAGACATTGTGTTGAAAAACACAGCAGAAAAGCCGGGTGTGGTGACTCACACCTGTAATCTCAGCACTTTAGGAGGCTGAAGGGGGTGGATCACTCGAGCTCAGGAGTTTGAGACCAGACTGGACAGCATAGCAAGACCCCATCTGAGAAAAAAAATTAGCTGGGCACGTGCCTGTAGTTTCAGTTACTTGGGAGGCTGAGACGGGAGGACTGCTTGAACCTGGAAGTTGGAGGTTGCAGTGAGCCAAGATTGGGCCACTGCACTGCAGCCTGGGTGACAGAGCCAGACCTTGTCCCCAAATTTAAAAAAAAAAAAACCCATTGCAGAAGACCTTCAGAATTGCTTGCCTCTAGAAACCATGCTGTCCTTAGAACATCTCACCCTTCAAAAACTACAGCAGCAGCCAGGACCCACCATTCACGCTGATGCATTCCTTTGTGATGAAGACTTCATTGATTCATTATGTGACAAAGGGAAAACAAGCAGCAACTACTGTGTGGTTCACACCAAACAGAACCTTTAGACTGATTGTTTGTTCCTTCTCCCTCATGGAATTGAAGTTCATTTATCTTCGTGTGCTCCCTGATCAATCAGGAAAGGTTGTGGCTGATGTCAGCTCCAGGCTCAGCACAGTCTTTATGGGGTGATCTCATAGTTTAGCAGGTGCAACTCTGTGGAGTAGAACTGAATGGAGACTTTTGCCAGTTGCAGGAAATGGTCATTAAAAAATACCAGTTTACTCACAGAATAAAGGTGCTTCATGCAGACATCTGTCCCCAGGGTTTCTTCTGCAAAATGCTCATGCTGTTATCACGAATAATGTCTTCAAATATTCTCTTAATGAGGCAGAACAGGCCAGAGCTAGGAATACATTCGTCATAACGTAAGGAATCAGATCATTATTAGTGACAGTGCCAAGTCTTGAAGATTCTCTCCTGGGTCTTCAGACTAATACACATTTATCTCCTTGGGCTGAAGAAGTACTATGGGACTATGACGTATATCCACAAAAGGATATTGACAAAGAAGCTCTTTATTTATTTATTTATTTATTTGTTTGTTTATTTATTTTTTCTTCTGAGACAAGGTCTTACTCTGCTATCTAGCCTGGAATGCAGCGGTACGATAACGGCTCACTGTAACCTTCAACTCCCCATGCTCAAGTGACCCTCCTGCCTCAGCCTCCTGAGTAGCTGGGGCCACGGCTGTGTGTGCCACCACCTGGCTAATTTTTTTTTTTTTTTTTTGAGACAGAGTGCCGCTCTTGTCGCCCAGGCTGCAGTGCAGTGGTGTGATCTCGGCTCACTGCAACCTCTGCCTCATGCCTCAGCGTCCCGAGTAGCTGGGATTACAGGCACCCACCACCACGCCCAGCTAATTTTTGTATTTTTAGTAGAGACGGGGTTTCGCCATGTTGGCCCAGGCTGGAGTGCAATGGTGTGATCTCGGCTCACTGCAACCTCTGCCTCATGCCTCAGCGTCCCGAGTAGCTGGGATTACAGGCACCCACCACCACGCCCAGCTAATTTTTGTATTTTTAGTAGAGACGGGGTTTCGCCATGTTGGCCAGGCTGGTCTCAAACTCCTGACATCAGGTGATCCGCCCCCCTCAGCCTCCCAAAGTGCTGGGATTACAGGTGTGACCCACCGCGCCCACTCTAATTTTTTTTTTTCGGTGGAGACAGAGTCTCCCTATGTTGCCCAGGCTAGTCTGAACTCCTAGGCTCAAGCGATCTGCTCCCCTTGGCCTCCCAAAGTGTTGAGATTACAGGTGTGAGCCACTGCACCTGGCTGACAAAGAAGCTCTTGAACAAATCCATTTAATGAAATTGGCATTAAAATAGTCCTACCTCATTGTAATGTTTTGTAGAGTATCTTATAAAATAATGAAAAAAAAAACAGTATTTTAATACATATTTTTCTGTATATTTCCTTCTAGCCTTTGTACATATGATCACGTATTTGTAAAAAGTTGTATGTGTATATATACAACTTTACCCGCTTTGTGTGATAATACAATAAAAACACTTATCTGAAAAAAGTATTTTTTTCATCAAATAGCAGAGCTCCTGTTTCTGGTAACCCAGGGTATGGCAAACGGGGGCTCTGGGAGATGGAGCAGCTCAGCCTCCTGTGAAAAAATCTGTTTCTCTAAAAAAGAACAAATTCCCGTGCCGGGCGAGGTGGCTCACACCCGTAATCCCAGCACTTTGGGAGGCTGAGCGTGGTAGCGGGAGCCTGTAGTCCCAGCTACTCAGGAGACTGAGGCAGGAGAATGGGATGAACCCAGGAGGTGGGGCTTGCAGTGAACCAAGATCACGCCACTGCACTCCAGCCTGGGTGACAGAGTGAGACTCTGTCTCCAAAAAAAAAAAAACCGATTTCCCAAAACCAGTCCCACTGTTGTCTATCCAGATCCGGGTTGCCCTTGACCTGGCTGGAGATGCCCCTCAATCCCCCAGGGCACGCAGAGCAGAGACAGAAACTGGAAGCAGAGCTGCACTGCGCTGAAGTCTAGAGATCCCACTGCTAGATCCAAAGAATTTACCCTTTCAGTCAACCCAAGGGGCAACGTCCACTTTCTTCCCTGAAGGAGCAGCGCCGAACAAAAGCTCCAGGCAGCTGCTTCCGCTGTTTCGGGGGTAGGGCCAAGTGACAGCCCCATGGGCCGTGCAGCAAGCGGAAGGTCCCCGGGAGTCATCCTCAACCCTCTGGGGCCACGTGGGTGAGTTCTCCCCGGGGAGGTACCGCTGCCCACTGCTTCACCTTAGTGAGCGTCAAGGAGTTAGGATCAGAATCCCAGCTGGCCCCGTCTGGGTCGCCAGGGTTTTGTTATCCACACAACGGCTGGGCTCAGTTGCTTGGCGGGTGTCAACTAAAGAGGATTTAACAGGGGATTTTATTTCTTGCAACAAGTAAGGAGAACACCGAGACATCTCCCAGAGTGGCGTCTCCCCAAGCTGCCGCAGGTTTTCTAAGCATAGGGTAATGAGGCGTGATCTGACTGCATCTTGCAATGAGGTGATGCTAGGAGGCATGATCTAATTGGATGCTGCCACAGGGGGACACCACAGCTCTGACCTCTCTCTGGGTCTCAGTTTCCCCAACTGCAGTGAAGAAATTGGCCCCAGTGATGATGCCCATGACACCACCATCCTCTGCCCTCACTCACGCTGGAGTCTCCATGTGCCCATTTTCAAGCTTGTGCCCGCCCTTTGTTCCTCACTCCCCACAGGCGTCCTTGGCCAGGACTTTCACAGCGTGCAGCCAAGGCCCAGAGAGGGCACTGAACCTCTCCAGGTCACACAGCCTGTCAGAGAGGTGGGGTCTAATCCAGGTTACACGTGTGCACACACACACACGCACACATGCTCACATACATGCACACACACGCTCTCAAGCACATGCACACATGCACACACACACATGCACATACGTTCTCATGCACACACATGCACCCATGTACACGCATGCACACGCACACACATGCACAAACACAATACTCTTGCACATGCACACAGGTACACACTCATGCACACATGCATGCTCTCACGCTCACGCACGCACACATGCTCTCATGCACATGCACATATTTACAGATGCACACATGCATGCACACACATGCACACATGCACACACACTGCTGGGACTGGGGGCTGCTGTTTCTGAGGGCTCCTGCATGGGCTCCTGGCCCCCTTTCTGTTCCATAAACACTCACTGAAATGCAGAAGCCGGACCCCAGCCAAGGGAAGTGAAACTTTCCAGCACCCCTACTGCTGTCCTCCCCGAAGCTGGGGGCCCAGCGCCTCGTGGCAGGAAGCACCCCGGCCCCCAGCAGCCCCCAAAGTAGCTAGGTCTGCCAAGCAGGCCCTTCCTTCCTGAGAGGCACCACACCGAGTCAGCAGGATCCCAGCCTCTGTGGGGGTTGGCGGGGCCTTCCAACAAAGACCATGGCCTGGGACTCATGAAGCAGCATGGGGGTCCCTGAGACCCTACCCCAAGCAAGGAGGGACCAGACCCAGGCCTACAGGCTCCTCTGCTGACTCCCTCTCCCACCACCTGCCAAGGACTCAGTCGAGTCACCCAACCCCTAGAGCTTCAGTCCACACCTGCAAAATGGAGCCAGTGACAGCTGCCCCCAGGGCTGGATCAGATACAGGAGTAGATGGCATGGCATGGCCCCCTAATGGCAGTCTCTGCCCTCCCTTTGCTGAGGCTCCAAGTGCCAGGAGGAGTGGTCCCTGGAGGGGGCTCCTAGGGAGCCCTAGCCTGCTGGGGGCTCAGCCTCACACTCCATCCACCCCTCTTAACACCCTGTCAAGGTCCCAGCTGCCCTGATGGGAGCCAGGATGACAAATGCCCTGTCCCCACAATCCGTATGCTCTGAGCTCACGGAGCCCTGGGTGTGGAGGGCAGGAGAGCCCAGGCCACACGGAGTTGAGTGTGATCTGGGGCAGCTTCTGAGAGGGTGTAACTCAAGAGGGTCCTGGCCGCCCAGAGCCCCCCAGGCTGGTGGGCCTGGCATCTGGAGCAGGGCTGGACTGGCCCGGGGAGACCCAGTGTGGTGGTAAAGAAGGCCTGGGATCAGATGCCTGGGGGAGGCTCCAGCTCGGGGTCCCAGCACCTGGCATCCAGCAGGCCCTGGCAAAGCGGCTTGCCTCTCTCCCCAGTGACTTCTGAACTGGCCTCAGCTCCTCCCAGCAGACAGCTAAGCCTGGTGGGAGGGAGAGGCCCCAGGGCTGAGTGCGGGGGACCTCACCTTCATCCTTCCCCACTTTGCTCTTGAGAGGCATCAGGAGGGGCTGGAGCCAGATTGGACGCCCTGAGTGCCACCTGCAGCCCGCCTCTAGGGCTCGTGTGCCTGTGGGCAGCCCGCCTCTAGGGCTCTGTGTGCCTGTGGGCAGTCCACCTCTACCACCTCTAGGGCTGTGTGTGCCCATGGGCAGTCCACCTCTACCACCTCTAGGGCTCGTGTGCCTGTGGGCAGCCCGCCTCTAGGGCTCGTGTGCCTGCGGACATCTGTCTGAACCTCAGTTTTCACATCTATAAAATGAGCCTGAGGGTCGTTTCCAAAACAGAGCAAACCGAGTCATCTGAGTTACACTGTCCTTGAAAATGACTGAAATCCCGGATCAAACATTTTGAAATTTTGCTTAAAGCAACAAAGAGCTGTAAAACTGGGGCTCCCCGTGGCACCTTTGGGTAAGGGTGACTCGGGAGTGACCACAGCCCTCTGGGGGCTGCAAGGACAGAGGCATGCTGCGAGGTGGCGAAGGAGGAGCAGCTTGTCATCTTGGTGGCCATCAAGGTGACACCTCTATAGTAACTTTCAATAGCCTGCTCTGGTGGTGACCAAACCCGAGTCACCACCCCACTGCGGGTGTACCTCTTAGTGGTGTTAAGGAAGGTGGCCCCTCTGGGGACCAGCAGAAGGACAAAGGGCAGGGGCAGGAACTTGCCTGCAGGACCTGGACTCGATGGACCGTGGCAACACAAGTAACAGAGTGGGGAGGGCGGGGCAGGGGCAGTGGAGCAGCCCCAGCACTCCGACCTTTGGCTGCGTGAACCTCAGCCCGTCCCACCTGCCAGCTGCTCTCTGCTAACTTGCCACAAAACTTCCCATCTGTGGATCTCCAGGCCCATAAATATCAGCCTCTCTGCGAGTTAGACGCCAGTCCTGGTGGCCTGGGAAGCCCAGATTCGCATCAGCAGGCAAGTACCCCCTGCCCTGAGACCCCTGCACCAGCTAGGAGGAGCAAACAGGAGGGGCAGGAAGGCGAAGTTGTTGCCTAGAACCCAGACGCTCCACAGCTAACTCCGGTGACGCTTTCCACTCCCCACGCTGTGCCTCAGTTTCCCTGTCTATAAAAAGGAGCACAGTCCTCTTCCTATAGGGAGTGTGCCTTGGTGAACCCATCTTCCCGAACAGTTGGGCCCTTCTTCTCAATTCAGGAAAAATAAACTTTTCTCCAAAGGAGCAGGAAAATTGTCTCCTCAGAGAAAGAGCCCCTGGGGGTGCACGGGGGACACAGCTGAGACGCTCCCAGCCAGCCACACCTCTTGACAGGCGGTTGCCCTGAGGGGCCTCCCACTGCCATCCCCGCTCTGTGCCCAAGGCCCTGCATCGGGGCCGGGGTCTCCTAAGTATGCCCACCCCCAGGTGCTGCACCCCACACCAGCATGTGCTCACTGCCTGTGCCCCGGGAGCCCCTGCGTCGCGTGGCTGTCACCGGGGGCACGCATGGCAACGAGATGTCAGGTGTCTACCTGGCCCGGCACTGGCTGCAGGCCCCCGCGGAGCTGCAGAGACTCAGCTTCTCCGCTGTGCCTGTGCTGGCCAACCCCGCAGCCACAGCCGCCTGCCGCCGCTACGTGGACCATGACCTCAACCGCGCCTTCACCAGCAGCTTCCTCAAGTGAGTGCTCTTGCCTCCAGGTTGGCCCAGGCAGTCAGGCACCAAGTCTCCACCACAAACCTTCCCTCCAGCCACCAGCAGGGCCCTCCCTGTCTTCACTCCTGCTTCCTCTCTGCCTGTGTGACCCATTCCACCACGGGGACAAACTGAACATTTAGAGAAACCCAGATTGATGTCACCTCCTCCAGGAAGCCCTTTCTGACTGCAGGTTGGGTCAGGACCTCTTCTGGGGATCCCAGACTCGGTGCTTCCCTCAGATTAGCCCCACAGGCCACGTTTACTTGTGTGCCCTGACCACTGTTCATGCCTTCTTCCAATGAATAGTCACTGAGTCCTATCTCCAGGCCAGACTCTGGCCAGCTCAGGTGAGAGAATGGGGAATAGGACCAAGGTGTTGGCTTCAAGCTTAATGGGGAGACCAAGAACCGGGCAACCATAACCCAGGAGGCTAAAGGCAGGGCCAGGGGCTACACAAAGCAGCTAACCTGGCTGAGAGCAGTCAGGAAAGGCTTCCTGGAGGCAATCGTCTATCAGCCAAGCCCCAAAGGCTGAGTAAAAGCTAGCCAGGGGAAGAGAGGTGAGAGGGAGTTTCCAGTGGAGGGCCAAGCACAGCACAGGCCCAGGGGTGAGACCAGCATGGTTCTCAGGCTGTGTGGTTGCAGTGAGGGCATGAGAGGCAGGCAAGTGGGCAGGCAGGCAGGAGGGCGGGCCAGGCTGAGGGCTTGGATTTTACCGGGAAGTGCAGAGCCAAGAGGGCCATGGGCAGGAGCGGACACAGCCACAATGGCAGAAGAGAAAGCCGTCGCGATGCTCAGAGTAGCTCCTGCAGGGCCATTGCCCCTTCCCCCTTAAACCACTGAAGACTGACTGAGACTGTGGGGGTCGCTGTCACCCATTCCCATCTCCACAGTTCCAGGCCCACCCCGGACGACCCATATGAGGTGACAAGAGCCCGAGAGCTGAACCAGCTGCTGGGGCCCAAGGCCTCAGGCCGGGCCTTTGACTTTGTCCTTGACCTGCACAACACCACGGCCAACATGGGCACCTGCTTAATCGCGAAGTCCTCCCACGAAGTCTTTGCCATGCACCTGTGTCGCCACCTGCAGGTGGCCCCAGCCCCCAGCACACAGCCTCCCAGAGGGGAGAGGGAGGGCAGGACGGGACAATGCTGGAACTTCCTTTGCTTAGCCCCTCTTCCCCGGGCCAAGTTTCCCTGGGCTTCAGCCCCTGGGGTCTGCCACCCGCCAGCACTCCAGGCCCCTGGTACCCCCTCCCCCACCCTGCCAGAGGGCAGAGGGAGACCTGGCCAAGGAGGGTGGTGCCCTGTGTTTCCTCCATGCAACACCCTCCCACCTCAGTTTCTCCTCCCACGTAGGCCTGGGCCCCTAAGCTGCCTCTCTTGCCCCCAGCTGCAGTACCCCGAGCTGTCCTGCCAGGTCTTCCTGTACCAGCGGTCTGGGGAGGAAAGCTACAACCTGGACTCCGTGGCCAAAAATGGATTGGGTGGGCAGCAACCTTCTGAGAAGTGGGCGGGGCCAGGAGGGTTGGAGGGGCGGGACCAGGCACCAAGGGGCGGGGCCTCTTCAAGAAGTATATGGGTCCTACGCCTGCCTAACCCCTTGCTTCCTGGTCCCCAGCTCTGGAGCTGGGCCCCCAGCCACAGGGTGTGCTGCGGGCTGACATCTTCTCAAGGATGAGGACCCTGGTGGCCACAGTTCTGGACTTCATCGAACTCTTCAACCAGGGTGAGACCCCAGGGGACTTTCGGGAAACAGGTCTGGGGAAGAGCAGGCCTGGCTCAGGGGTTGGGGAGCCAGGCTCACAGGCAGGCTGGCATCTAGCCCTGAGGCTCCCCCACAGCCCACTCTGTCCCCTAGCCTGGAGGGAGGGATGAGCTCACAAGCCCAGCCTCCCACACAGGTGCGGCCTTTCCCGCCTTTGAGATGGAAGCCTATAGACCCGTGGGCGTCGTGGACTTCCCTCGCACTGATGCCGGGAACCTGGCAGGCACTGTGCATCCTCAGCTGCAGGTGGGTGTGTGTGTGGTGGGGGTGATTGCTGGGGCCACAGCCTTGGGGAGGAGGGTTGTCAAGGAAAACTGAGCCCCAGAGGGTGCAGCCAAGCCTCCCATGATCTCACCAGCATCTCGGGTTGAGGAGCAGGATGGGAGGCTGGGCTCCACCGTCCTACTTCTCCTGGCCCTGCTGCCTTCCCTGGAACCCCACACTCAGGCCTAGCATAAGAGGCCACAGTGATCCCCATAGCTCCTGTGGAGGGCATGATGGAGACAACCTTACCCTGGCCATAAAAGGCAGAGGGAGGGGACATGGAGCAGGCATGACTCAATTCACCTGCTTGGAGGTGCAAATACAAAACTCTCTTCTGATTTTCAGTTGAGAGCATCCCCATGCCTGTTGGCAGGTCGTCCAAGTCTCTCTCTCTGCAGGCCTTCCCTTCTGGAATGTTCCAGGATTGGGCAATCCTGCTTCCACACCTTTCTCTTGGGTGCCTGGGGAGAACCCACTGGCTGCTGCTCTGCTTGCTGCCACACGGGTCATTTTTGAATAGGGTCTGGTGCAGTTTTGTGGTCTTTTGTGCCCTGAAGTTTCATTTTGAGGAGTTACCTTCTTACAAATGGAGGCAGCGCCGTCCTGTCCGTGTTTAGGGCTAGGCAGTCTTAGTCCAGCCGTGCCCAGCTACCTTGCAGATGTTAAGTAGTAACGGTCAATTTGGGTGGCCCCTCCTACAATTCTAAAATTTATTTTATTTTTTATTTATTATTATTATTTTTTGAGACAGAATCTTGCTTCATCGCCCAGGCTGGAGTGCAGTGGTGCAATCTTAACTCACTGTGACCTCTGCCTCCCGGGTTCAAGCAGTTCTCCTGCCTCAGCCTCCTGAGTAGCTGGGATTACAGGCACTTGCCACCACACCCAACTAATTTTTGTATTTTTAGTACAGACAGGGTTTCACCATGTTGGCCAGGCTGGTCTTGAACTCCTGACCTCAAGTGATCTGCCCATCTCGGCCTCCCAAAGTGCTGAGATTACAGGCATGAGCCACTGTGCCCGGCGTTAAAATTTATTTATTTATTTATTTGAGACAGAGCCTTGCTCTGTTGCCCAGGCTGGAGTGCAGTTGCATAATATTGGCTCACCATAACCTCCGCCTCCCAAGTTCAAGCGATTCTCCTGCCTCAGCCTCCCGAGTAGCTAGGATTATAGGCACCCACCACCACACCTAGCTAATTTTTGTATTTTCAGTAGAGATGAAGTTTCACCATGTTGGCCAGGCTGGTCTTGAACTCCTGACCTTATGATCCACCAGCCTTGGCCTCCCAAAGTGGTGGGATTACAAGCGTGAGCCACTGTGCCCAGCCAAATTTTATTTAATAAAGAATCATATTGTACTTACTGTGTGCCAGACATGCTGTAAGCACTATTAACCTGTTTAGTTTAAACTTCAGAATGATAGGAGGAGATACTGTAATCCTTCTTTTACAGACAAGAAAACTGAGGAACAGAGGTTAAGTGACTTGCTCACAGTCACACAGTTAGCAAGGATTTGAACTCCAGCTTCAATACCTGTGCCCATGTCCACGAGGGTCCACTTCCACATGGGCACATGCCTCCCCAAGGTGACTTGTGCCTTCATTTCTAGACATAGAGCAGACTGGCATCTCACCAGACCTGCTGTCTTACGGATTGAGGAAGTGAAGCGTGGGTGGGAAAGGCCACAAATGAGGGGCATCTTTTGGGTACCAAGCTGGGGTCACCTCCCTCTGGGGCCAGGGCAGAGGTGGCTCCAGCGATCTTGGACTTGGCTCTCCTCCCAGGACCGAGACTTCCAGCCGCTGCAGCCCGGTGCTCCCATCTTCCAAATGTTCAGTGGGGAGGACCTGCTCTATGACGGGGAGTCCACGGTGTACCCGGTGTTCATTAATGAGGCTGCCTACTATGAGAAGGGCATTGCCTTTGTCCAGACTGAGAAGTTCACATTCACCGTGCCTGCCATGCCTGTGCTGAACCCTGTCCCGAGCCCAGCTTCCTAACCCAAGCCACACCTCCCCAACTTCAGTCTTCCCATCTGAACAATGGGTCCTGAGGCATAGCTCTGAGCACAGAGGTCCCTTTTGCCACCTACCATGTACCATGTTCCTTGCCAGGCCCCCCAGCCCCTGGCCTCAGTTTCCCATTCTATAAAATGGAAGATGTCCAGAGGTCCATGGTTTGTGTCCTCTGTCCTGCACAGCTCCTGTCTGGCTGGGGAAGTGGATGGAGGAAGGGAGGTTGACCACAGGATCTGGGGGAGGTCTGGCCAGTGCAGCCTTGGATGCACAAGTGTCTTGGGGCCAGTGGTGGCTGCCTCTGTGCCCACAACTGTCCATCCATGCCCAGAGGAGGATCCCAGAGTGTAGGAGGAGAACCTGGAGAAGAATTTTGCTCTGGATCCAGCAGAGGGGCTTTCAGAGGAAGCCACAACCCAGAGGGGGACCCCCCAACCCTCCTACAGTCCTGCGGCCAGAGGGTGAGTGTGGGGAGCGCAGAGCCGGGCCCATGTCTGTGCACACGTGTGTGTTTGTCCATGCATGGCGCCTGCCCCGTGTGCTCTTTGGCGTGCGTGTCTGTGCATTTCCCACACACACGTGTTTCCAAGAGCCTCAGTTGCTTGGGCATTCTAAGGGGATCTCTATGTGGCCAGATGTGCATTTCCAAGTGTGTAATGAGCCCGGTGCCCATAGTGGCTCAAGCAGGGAGTCAGGGCTGGGGGAAGAGCCACAGCAAGACAAGGCTGTCCCCATGCGGGACAGCCTGTCCAACTGCAGAGACGCAAGGAGGAGGTGGCTTGGGTTGGGGCAGAGGGACTTCCCAGCTCCAATTGGGAAGCCATCATTTCCACCATCCCCAGGACACCACGCACTGATGTCCAGCGAGCCAGCATGAGGCCCGCTGCTGAGGGCCCCTCTGTCCTGATGCTGGCACCCTTCAGGGTGTCATGGCAGGACAAATAGGCAGGGCTACATGCGACCTGGCTGCAGCCTCACTGCCTGCACCTGCCTGAGCCTAATGGACTCTTGCTGGACAGCTGGGGCTGCTGGAGCCCAGAGTCCCCTTGCAGTGCCACTCCCGCAGCCCTCTACACCCCCGCCCGCTCCATCCATTTCCCTGCGGCCACGGCTGCCACACCACCTCCTGGTATTGAGCAGTGAGATGAGAAGGTGTGAAGGATACGAGGGCACCAGGGACAGGCTGGCAGGCAAGATGGATGAGGGGGCAGGGGGCCAGCAGGCGCCTCGGGCAGGCAGGGCAGGCCAGCCGGGGAGGGGTGTGCAGGGCGGCCTGCTGCGCGTGTGCGTGTGCATGCCTGTGTCTGTGCACGTGCCGTGTGGTAAGTCCATGTGCACAGAAGCTGCACGTGTGTGCGCTGTGTGGCGAGTCAGCAGGCTCTGAGTTCATCCGTGTGTCTGCGTGTGTGTGGGTTAGCATGTCAGTGTGCTCGTGTGTGTGGAGGGGGCGGCTGTTTCCCATCACACAGATCAGAATCGCACACACACACATATCAGGGGCCACTACAATCCCAGCCTGGCCCTCCCTTGGTTATCTCGGTGAAGGGGAGCCACCAGGACTGGATTGGATCCCCCAACTCCCTCCATCATCTCCCCACTTCCCACCCACCATGCCATGGCCAGGGCAGATGACTACACCTTGTGGTATAGCCCCAAGGGGCTGCTCAGACCCTCCATCTCACACAGATCACCCCCATCTTGCCTGGCAGCAACTCCAGAGCGCTGGCAGCCTTCTCTGACACAGCTGGGCATGGGGTTGGGCCAGGGGCCGGCCCTCCTCCCATTACATGCCCCCAGAGCCAGCCCACCCTCTTCGTGTGGGGTCCCATCCAGCTCTGCAGGCTGAGATATGAGACACAAGGGATTGAGCCACAGGCATCTCTGAGCTGCAGGGAGGAGCGCCCAGAACATAGCACTCAGGGAGAAGCAGCCCTGCCACCCCCCAGCCCCTCTGTGCCCCCTCTTAGGAATCAAGGTCACTGTCAACCCAACATCCTCAAGACAGGATTCTGGAGGAGGTGTGGGGTGCTCCCGCCAGACGACCCACTCTGTGCCATTGGGCAAGAGTCAAAAGGCCAAAGAGCACCCTCAACCAAGGGACTGGCATCAGCTCAGGGGGACCTCCGGGCTCTGCCTCCCTGCAGAGTGATCCGTGTGTCCCCTGAATGCCCAGCACAGGCTGCAGGCAGCCTGGAGAAGGTGCCCGGTCAGGCCAGAGAGAACAGACAGACCCACAGGCAGAGCGGACGCCCACTTCTCACCTGGGCCAGCCTCACCGTTTCCACTCATGCCCAGATGGAGGCTACGTGGGCACCGTCAGCCAGGGCACTGCCCCCAGTGCCAGGCGGGATGTGCTTACCGCTCTCCAGGCTGGGCTAGACCATCACAGGCAGAAGAGATTATGTGCTTAGGTTAACTGGGGAGACTGAGGCACTCCGGAGACTGTAGGATCTGCCAGCGTTGCGCAGCTCCCTGAGTTCATCCACGTGTCTGTGTGTGTGGATTCGCATGCCACAGGACCTGGGCTTCCCGCCACCCCAGTCTGGGGCTCTATGCTGACCACACTCATTGCTGCTGCCCCCTTGTGTTTCCTGCTCACACTCCTCCTGACAATTGCGCATCTGCTGGCCGGCTGGGGCCAGCCTCAGGTCAGGGGTCTGGGTCTTGGTGGGAGGGCACCTCCTCCGCCATTCAGCCCTCAATCTGCTGCTCCCACTGTGCCTCCCAACCCCTGGGGCCCAGCCCCTCCAGTCAGCCAGGCCTGGACCCCTGCAGATGCCCAGCCGTCCTCAAGAACCACGCTCCCACCCACTCACCCCTGCCACGCCTGAGCCCATCGATCAGGAATAGCTAGGGGGTTCTTAGTTAGGGAAGGGAGGGGCCTGAAGAGGGAGGACAAGGAGGGAGGAAGGGGGGGCTCTGCAACGTCAGAACCTGCCCACCTGCCCTCCTTCCGCACAGCCTTGGACAGCACAGCCTGAGAGTGGCTTGGAGAAGGGCCCCTGCACGCCCCAGAGTCTGCATCTCACCTTCGGAGACCAGAGTCCAGCTCAAGTGGGAAGACCACAACCTCGGGACGTGGACGAAGGGCGATCGAAGACGCAAGGACAGTCCTGCCGAGAGACCACAGCCTGTGTGAGCACCTGAGGGCTGAGCTGAGGTGCCGAGTGGACGAGTGGTGACCACTCCTCCCGGCAGGCAGGGTCCCCTTGGGTGGCAGCCACAGCCCAGCCCCAGCCAAGCAGTGTTTCTCCAGGAGCCGGACAGCCGCTCTGTCTCCATGGCAGGTAGGCTACGTGAAGCAGAGGTGGCCTCATGGGTAGGGCTCAGGTTCCAGGGTGGGTGGGCAGGGTGGGAACCAAGGCAGCCCCACTGAACCCAGGCCCTGTGCAAGAGGGTGGGGCAGGGGCACCCCAGGCTAAGGTCTGAGATCCCCATGGGACAGGGCTCACGGCTGCCCAAGTGCAATGATGGGAGAGGCCAGGGACCATGCTGTTCCGGGAGATGAGCGCCTCACTGCGCACGTGTGACCTCAGGCCTCTCCCTGAGCCCCAGCTCCTTCAGCATCAAAGTTGGGGGCTGGACAAGAAGGCTTAGCTTCCCTTCTAGACTTGACACTCGATGCTTCCGGCAAGCTGTCATCTCTGGGCCCTAAGGAGTGCTGGCTTCTAGAGGGACTGAGCAGAGGACAGGCTCCCTCCCCAGAGTCCCTGAAAGTGTCGAGGGGCAGCACATTGGCTGCGATGGGCAGCGGGTGAGCCCGTAGAGGACTTGGGAGCCAGTGAGGACCGGCAAAGCCTCCAGGCCCAGCGAAGTCATGAGCCCCTCCCCTTGGGACCCATCGCCATGGACGCAGAGGGGTACTGGCATCGCCTGGATGACGTACCTGCCCCAGCAGGGCAGCCGGGTGACAAGCAGTTACCCTTCTGATGGACTGGCCGCAGGGGCAGGGGGACATCAGCCCATCTATCCATCCTGCCCAGGGTCCTCAAACCTGATGTGACCCATTGCTGTCACAAAGACGCCCCCTCCTCTGTGAGGCTGCAGAAATTCCAGGAGCTTTGCATGCAGCTCTCAGGGCTGCTGAGGACGCGGCCATGGCCCTGGGCTCCACACTCTCCCCAGGCACCTACTAAGAGCTCACCCTCGCCAGGTGCCGTCCACCTGGTACCTCGGCAGATGCTATGCCACCCTGGGAGCCTCCACCGCCTGCCTGTCTGCCAGTTCATCCATCTCTGCAACACCTAGCATCCCCCCTCTGCTCCAGGCATCCCACAGTTTTACAGTCGTGTAAATGCCCCAAAGCCACTCGGGTGGGGACACAGCTGAGAATAAAACCTTGTCCCCAGACTTCCAGCCACTGTGGCTTCCATGGCCCCTCCAGCTCCTCAGTCCCTTATGGGGCTGCAATAAAATAATAGTTCGTTTTTCAGGATTTTTTTCCATTTAAAATATTTTAATTATAAAATAT